GAAAATTTAGTAATCCCCTTTAAGGGCTTCGTCTGAATGACTAACAATTCAATTTCACGGTAAATTCTGGTTTTTACCAGCCTCACTGTGATGTTGGTCGTTGTAACAATATAATTCAAACTTATCGCCAACCAACAGTACGTGCAAATCAAATAATTTCGTGTTTATTTTCAAGATCGACTGTACTGAGTAGTTCAAAATATAAGTTGCAAATATGTCCAAAAATTAAATGGTACGAGAATACATGTATCTTAACCCAGACATGTTTTTGCACATTCTGAATAAAAAACAGAAAATAAATACAATATAACTCTTGTAGAAACATAAAACTGCATTTTTGGAATGAATAATCTCGTTGTCCTATACAGGCAAGGTTTTTCCATTTTTTTTTGTAGACTTGTATACAGTTAATGGAATAATGGCCCCTGACGGTGGATGGGGGTGGTTTATCGTGTTGAGTGCTCACATCAATGAGATAATGTATGATGCACTGTCAGCATCAGTGGCCGTACTACTGATCACATGGAAGGACTATTTTGGCGTAGGAGCTAGTAAAATATCAATGATTGCATCGATAGGTCAAATTACATTCCACTTTTCCAGTAAGTGCATTTCTAAATGTTCTTAATTGTGCGTAGTTAATATGATGCCAAAATATAAATGAAATGTAATTTTCGATTTCTCAGTTTGCGAAATTCCATATACAGAATACTTGAGGCTGAATGCTGAGACCCTAGATTTAACGTTGTTGACGCCCCTATACGAGTAGTCATACTATATGCTTATGCGTCATCATTGATAGTACATATAGAAAATGGCGAGCGTAATACATTGCCAACTTTATTATTATTTATAATATATTATTATATTGACTGCATTGGTGTTTTGGCTGTTAATATAAATGATAATTCGACAAAATTATTCGCCCGTTAACATTAAAATATATGCTAAGATGGATTGCAAATAGGAAACAAATAAGTACAAAGATTCTAATGAGGAAACTATTTTCTATGCAACGAATAAATAGAGTTTCATAGCGAGGATATTACTATAGCTTTGTTTATTTATTTATTTCAGCCACAATTTCGTCAGCATTAAGTGCAAAGTTTGGTTTTCGAGTAATTGCTGTAATTGGTTCTATACTTTGTACAATCAGTGTTTTTATCAGTGCCTTTATAAATGACGTCACAATGCTCTGTCTCACCTATGGATTAATGACGTGTAAGTCAACTTGTCATATTTAACACACACTGTCATGTGATAACTGAACCTTCAACGTATTTGCTAACACGTTTTCCAAGGCGCGCCCCTTAGCGACAAACCACTTCTGCAGAAGGAAAACCATTCACATCGTTGATATTGTTATGTTTTGAGAGATTTACTATATTCTAAATGACAAACAACTACATAGCCAAACACAGTCGTCACTTTAAAAGACAATGATTTTGTTATCGCTTCATTTCACTATGACCAGCAGTCATCAGTATGAATCTTAAGAAAGTTTCCACAAATTAAAAAAAATAATTCAGTGATCGTTTCTCAGTTCTAGGATTATCGCTCTCTTTTCTACCAGCATTCGCATTACTGGGTCAGTATTTCGAGAAGAAACACGCACTTGCGAATGGCCTGGTACTGCTGGATTTGGAGCTGGAACGATGGGACTGCCACCTTTTTGCCAGTGGTTGATCACAATTTATGGTTGGAGAGCTACACTGGTGATTCTGAGCGGCTTAAGTGCTCACCTCTGTATAGCAGCAAGTC